AGTTGATATTAAATTATTTCAAATTACCTAATTCATAACAATGATAAATGTTAATTTTAAAAGTAATGAACTTTGCTTCATAAAATCAGATGAAAAAATTTGTAATTTATTCTCAGATTTGATGAACAAGCGGAACGGTTTGTGAGGTCCGATATAAAGAATTCTCGATTAGAAATCATGAATATTTATAATAACGATTGAGGTTTGATATCATTTTGTTATTTCATTAATAATTGGTATCTAGGGGTCTTTGTGGACGAACATTATATTTTTTTTCAATAATTCATGCTGACGAATTCTATAATTACGAAAAATCATTAATGTAAATGAAAAAAACTGTATTCAAAAATGAAAAAAAAAAATTTTCATATGTGTGCCATAGGTCATATTCATTCTGTGATCAACAGATTGAAAAGATTTCTGCTCAATGTTTTGTTTGTATACTAAATAGTTATTCTGGGTTCGATTCCTGCCTCGACCAGATATTTTTCTCGAGAGAATTTATCTGATTGAAGCTGGGATGATTCTGCAACCGTGTTAGGAATCGCACGTTAAAAGGTAAGACCTCGTTATTCCTTAGCTCGCACAAGTTTCTCAACTTCTGAGAGTTGTCGTTCGTATGGGGGCGATGGCTGATTAACGGAAAAACAGATTTTAAACAGATTTTTTAAATGTAAACAAACTCTCCACAACCTCTCATTACTCGTCACCCCCCCTCGTCCATAAGTTGTACAGAAAAGGATAGTACGACACCCGTTTCAAAATACATGTATTGTACTGGTATAGGCATGGCAACTCTATGTCTTATTATTACTCTGAGGATAATACGATACCCGTTTCAAAATACATGTATCGTATTGGTATAGGCATGGCAACTCTATGTCTAATTATTACTCTGAGCTCTGAGGCAAGGACCATAAAAAAAGAGAAGAAGAATCATCTGAAATCTCACAAATCGAAAATGATACTGAGAATGAAATAGACACGGAAAGTGAGATGCAAAAATTCAGTTAAGAAAGTCAAAATAAAACAATACAAAAGATCAGAAAGTAAAAGCACCTAAAGCAAATTCAAATCCAAGATAGAGTGGATGTAAACATTGACATGCCTTACGCACGTGATATTGAAAATCCCAAGAATTGGAAATATGAAAAGAGACGTAATTATTTCTTTATTGATAATTTTTATTTTATGTAAAATCGAAAGGAATATTAATCAAAATTATTCAACTGGATGAATTTGTCTCATCAGTAGTGTCATCCTCACCAATCTGAATTATCAGTGGCTCGATTTGTGCCTCTATTATGTTATCAAGCTTCCACATCTTTGTCTCGACTTCCGATATCACATGCCGAACACACTTCTCCCATTTCTCCGCTGTGACTCTTTTCAAAGCCTCATCAAAAAGTACTTTGAGATCTGCAAATT